AGTAGCAGCCATCAATCACTACTAAAGAAGTAACCAAGGCAGATATTTCTATTTGCTCTCCTGCAACAAAAGCTGTACCTGCTCTCAGGAGAAGCTTTGATATCTTTTGTTTTTTTTATTATTTATTTAACTTCATTTTATTCTGTCTTCAAACGCTCAAAATGCAAACAAACTATCAGGAGAGATAGAATGACATCAATCACACAGGAGACGTGCTCCGTCCTGCTGTTACGTGAGCAGACATCAGATATGGAGATCTCACAGCGGGGAGCGGCTGTTCTTGTTTTTCATTTTATTCAACTTCACAGCTCATCTTTACAGCTTTTATCTCAGGGAGGAAACTCAGCAGCATCAGTAGGCAACAGCTAAATAGGTCCGCAATGACAGGAGGATGAAGGAAGGCGACATTACCACCATGTCATTTTGGGCTGAAAGCTGATTGTTATGAGTGAAAAGTGGTCGTTAACATTTTAAATATTGTTGTAAAACAGTTGTACCAAGTGTGCATGCACGAAAGCAGCATGCTGCAGTTACACCGCTCCAGTTACGTTTTTAACTTTCTTATTTTTATCATTTTTTGATTGCTCTTAATGCACTATTTTTGCACGAAACGTATCACTTTACTTGGATTTAGTTTTTACAAATGCATAGATATACGTACAGATATATATACAGAAGATTTATATTTGTATATATTTTATCACTTTTTATTCTTATTTTTTATCTTTATTATATTGTATAGCTGGATGTGTGTTTATATTATATAAAACTGTAACTGGAGCGTGTAACGAAAAGTAATTTTCCTCTGAGATTATTAAAATATTTCTGATTCTGAAATATACGCCACTTATATGTGATCCTGAAGTGTGGGGTCACACTAACAAAATAAACATTCAACCATTGATTATTGTGCAAAAGAAAGAAATACGAATAACGAATAATAAACATTATAGAGATCGATTCAAGAATTCTCAAATTTGTAGATTTGATCAATTTCAGAACTGCTCAAATTCTTTATAAAGCAAGAAATAACTTACTTCCTGCTAGGGGTGTAAATAATAATGGTTTTGTATTGATGCATCGATCCAACAGCCGACGATCCGATGCATCGATACGTCCGCAAGAGAATCGATTCATGTTTTTTTTCCTCCGGTCTATTTTTATCCATTTG